AAAAAAAAAAAAAAAAAAAAAAAAAAAAAAAAAAAAAAAAATGTTAATAAAATGTATCTATATCTATCGTCTAAGGAAAAAATATCCATATGAATAAAAATGTATCTTAATCTTCTTTTAGTTAAGTATTCCATGTGCATAGTAATATGTACATATATTTTTTTCTTTATTGAATACAAGAATTATTTCTGAGCAAAGTAAAAAAGACTATGTTAAATGGTAAATTTCAATATAATCTGGTTTTACTATGTAACGTAGTAATTTTACTATATGGCGAGTATGTCTCAGCGTTCCTATATAAAATATAGTAATTTTTGTTATTGTTGTAAGACTTTTTCTACCACTTTTCTCAGTGTGCACATGCAAGAGAGGATTAGATGTGTGCACATGTCATGGAAAAGCGGCAATGCTGCAGCTCAGCTGTGCAATACTCTAACTTTGGATCTAATTACAGTAAACATTGTATCTATAATGTACATATAAATCTCTCCTTCAGGACACTGATGTACCATAAAAACGTATACGGTCCGCAGACTTTGCAAATTTTTTTTTCATTTTCGTTGGTACATAGTATATTTTCAATAGAAAACCGTTATAAACAATTCTTATAACTTACACCCACATTTAATGAACTATTTACTTTAAAATCATGTACTTATTTATAGATACAGTGTGCTACTTGCTTAATCCACCTTAACGGATTATTTTAACCAATATGTATAGTACATTTACACTTTTTTATCATAAATAATTGGTTACATAAATCGTTTTAGAAATGATAGTGTAAACGGTATGTAAGGTAAAAGACCCAGTTATGAGACAGGTTTTTGATATGAGTCGCGTATTATAAGTGATTTTTGTCGTTTTTTAAGTTATCATCCACATAATAACACCTTTCATAGCTGATATAACTTTTAAAAAATCAGATTAAGAAACATTTTTTCTTTTAAATTCGCGCAAAATTTATAGCTATAAACACCTACATTTTACAGCTAATAATAAGCTACATTTATAGGTACATTGTAGTTGATTATAGCTATAAATGTAGGTCTTTATAGCTATAATTAAAGCAACAATTAATAGTTAAATTTTTAGCTAATAATTTTTGACTGAGTAGAGATCCCTATTTCGTCATCACTCACCTCTTCGTCTGGGACCTGTTTAATGGTGTTACCCGAACAAGGTTGATCGAGCGTCAAGCAGACGAGCCAAGGTAGTGACAACTAGTTTGGAGTCTAAATATATATATGGTAAATGATTTTGTGGTTTCTACTGGGAGATTGATACTTCTGTAAATACCCCAGTAGTCGAGTTACTCTTGTAGATAGGAAACGTTTATACATAGGGTGAAAGTAATCTGGGAGAATCATCGTAATCTGTGCTTACGAACCCTCAGAGACCTCAATAAGCGTCATCTATCAAGAGTTTACTCAAGTTGATCTCACCTTGTGCCGTTTATCTGTTTGAGTATAGGAGCATATCATTAAGAAAAGCGAGAAAATTTAAATCTAAAAAACTTCGGAATTAAATTATTCATTAAGTAGTCTTAACATTAAATATATTTAGTAGTGCATATACATTGAAAGGCGATTCCTTATTTTACATAGTGTTAATTATTGAATAAATATTCTATATCAGTTTAACTTTCGTGAGCGCTCATTTCGAAATAACCTTTCCCCTTTTAGGTGATTGCGAGTTCTTTATAAATATTTATAAATTTTAGAT